GTTGTCGTCATGCGATTCGTCTCTTTGGCAGACCAAAAAGTGCGAGATGCACAGGAACGCGCTCGAGCACACGAGGAGGAGAGGGAGAAAGCAGCGGGTGCCGTGGATGTGGATGTGGATGATCTGGAGGCGAGTGAGACGCCGGAGAGCATCTTGCTGGGCGCTGTCAGCGGTGACCAGAGCAAAGATCGCACGGATCGTGCTTTGGTGACACCCTGGCTCAAGTTCCTTTGGGAGAGTTACCGAACCTCGCTGGAGACCCTCAAGAACAACGCACGGCTGGAGGCTATCTACCAGGTCTGTCCTGAGCTAAACTTTCGTTCCGATGGCTCATCCGGTATCAAATCAGTCGATCGCGCAACAAGCGCTTACTTTCTGCCTAAACTACAAGCGACCGCTGGAGTTCCGTCGTCTTTGCGATACCCTCCGTCTGCATCTGTCCCATACCGCCAAATATGCGCATCAGCCCCATGCCATCAACTTGGCGGACCCGGAGACCCTTCAACATCATCTGGATACCCGTTTCCGTCAGTTGACAGTATCCTCTCAGTTGGAGTTATGGGCCGAGGCGTTTCGAGCGGCAGAGGACATTCACCATCTTCTGACGTTGGGAGGAGGCGCTGGCGGTGCGGCGGGCAGAAAGCAGGTGCTAAAACCTGGTGTTCTGGCGGCCTACTACGAGCAGCTTTCACGCGTGTTTCTCGTAAGCGGTAATGCCCTTTACCATGCTGCTGCGTGGGGCCGATTGCACTCCGTCACAATCACCGCGCCTTCTGCGACGGAGGGATTCAAGATGGACGAGCCACGTCTTGCTGGTCTCGTGCTCATCAGTGCGTTGGCTGTGCCTGTTTCAGCTGGTGTGTTCTGGTTCAAGTTGTTCGTTCGCATATCCTGATCCCTCTGCAGCTACCACTTCGATTTCCGACGAACGTCTTCCCGCGTTGTTGTCCTTGCCCAATCCGCCGTCGCGTGCAAGCCTGTTAAAGGATGCACTTTCCCGCGGTGCACTCAAGAACGCACCTAGTATTGTCCGTCAATTGTACGCCGTTTTAGAGGGTGCGCCTTCCACCGGAAATGAAGACGAGGAATACCTCACATTCGATCCCCTCACTTTACCCATTCGCATCGCCCCCCTTCTCTCTCTTCTTCAGACTGAGGAAGTTCTTTCGGAGTATTCTGCATATGTTCCCCTGCTTCGACGGGCTGTTGTCAGTCGTTTGTTCAGTCAGCTGGCCGAGGTATACAGCGACGTGGAAATCCATTGGGTCCGTGATCTGGTTGCGCCTCTGTTCGAGAGCACACCGACGAAATCTGGGGAGACGACTTTGGATGGAATTATCACTTCCTGTGCTCGGCGAGGCGAGCTTCCGAACGGAGTACGCGTTCGCATCGATCATGCAGCTGGACGGATCGAGTTTGTTGATGGTGGATTCGAGCTGGGTAATGAAGATCCTGTATCGTCTGCGGTCTTCAACTCGGGTGCCAGCACGAGCCAAGTGATGATCGAGGAAGTTCAACCCGGCATCTCGTCCATTGTCCGCACCCGTTTAAGCAACGTTGGCAATTGTTTATATCGGGCCCTGGGTGTCATCGATACAGTCGCTGAACAGCCTGACCTGCAGAAGACACGATTTGCCGCGCTTTCTGCTGCAGTAGAGAAGGAACGCAAGGACTTGATGATCTATCGGTCGCTCACTCATCGCCGGCGCGAATTGCTTACGGAGCTCGCTGTTCGTCGGCAGAAAGAGAGCGCTCAGCGGCAGGCCGACATTACCCGCAAAGAGAAAGAGGAGGAAGAACGCCGTGTGAAGGAGGACCAGCGTCGTCGCGAAGCTGAGCGCCGGGAAAAGGTTCGAGAGGAAGTACAGCAAGAAGAAGCTCGTCGTGTCAGAACGGCTCTTGTGGAAAAGGGTGTCATGCGGAAAGGCGATGAGGCCCTGGAGAACATGGACACGACGTCATTGATCACTATGCAAATCACTCATCTCGAGAAGGAAAAGAAGGAACTGGCAACTAAACTGCGTACGCTCACGAAAAAAATCGACCACACTGAGCGTGCCTACCGCAAGGCTGAACAGCCGCTACACGAGCAAGACTACGAGGCTCAACAGTCCACTGACTTGGCGGTGTTCACCGCTCTTCAGCAATCCCGCAAGGAGGAAAGCAAAGCCCGTCACGAAGAAGATCTCGCCACAAAGAATCGTCTTGGCCGCATGGCCGCTGAGTTTTCCAAGCGGAGAGACGATGTGCTCAATAAACGTCGGGCAGATTTCGAGCGCAAAAAGGCACTTGCTTCGAAGAAGATCGACGAGGAAAAAACCAAACGTCGTGCTACCATTGAAGCGAAGCGCGCAGAAGAAAGCAGGCTGGAAGAAGAGCGTCGCAGGGCCGAGGAAGCTCGGATTGAGCTGGAACGGCAACAGGAAGAAGGCAAGTCTTGTTTTCGGCTTTCGTCACTCTGGCTCATCTCTTGTAGCTCGTCTGGCGGATGAGGCAAGGAGTCGGGCTGAAGCCGAAGCCGCAGCTGCAGCTGAAGAAGCTGCGAAACGTGAAGCCGAAGACAAAGCTAACGCCGTTCGCAAAGAACGTGAGGCGCAGCGCGCAGCCGACATGGAGCAAGTCCGCCTCCGCGCCCAGCGCGAAGAAGAGGCTGAGGCTCGTCGTCTCGCTCGATCACAGGAAAAGGTCGTCCCGACGCCATCCGTCAGGAAACCCATCTTTCCTACTGCGCGGGAAGGACTACCCCTCCGCACAGCCACCGTTACGGATAGCACTGGTGGCGGTGCATGGCGTCGAACAACCACGACAACACCGACAACCCCTACAGCTCCGGTCCGAGCAGAGAGTCCCGCTCCTGGCGGCCCTGCAAAATACACGCCTGGTGCCTTCCGTCGCAATGCCGCTACTGCGGGTGGGTCCATTGGCCGAACTGGCGGTGCTGCCACACCCGTGCGGGTTGCATCCCCCGCTCCGGATCCAGCCAAGATCGTGAAGACTGATGATGAAGGATTCACCACTGTCGAAAAGCCAGGGGTCTGGAAACCGAAGCGAGCACGTCAGTAGATGGCCTACATTTATGATTCTGTATGATATGTTACTGCTTTATGTGCATCATGACTTGATCAAAGTGCATTCACTGCCGCAGTCGGGTTCGGTCTGATTTTTGTACAAAATTATGAACCCTGAACACAACCTCGATTGAGGTTTGGTGCTTTGTCTGAACCTGGACTACACTGGTGGTTTGGTTGTGGCTCCCACAGGTTCGAACCAGTCCGAACCTGGATTTTTGATAACTTTTTGCCTCTCATAAATTGTTCTTGTCCCAATGTGTTTATGTGATGTAAGCGGCTTGTTGTCAAGTTCCGGCACAAGAGCAGTCCAACGCTAACCATAATAGCACTAGATTTACTAAGGAAAACGATCCACCCGTCAACCCCACCCCCGGACACATCTCATGACCTGCCTTTTTGGTAACAGCCCCTAATGGAGTTCATCTTGAGTACATAGTATTGTACAAATACAGAGCTTTTTTGCATCTTTTTGTTTCATTAATGACTTGAGTATCCATTTTTACTCAAAATATCATCAGATCAGGTCCAAAGACATGACCTTTTGACTTGAGCGCAATGTATACTGAATGTAAGGGCAACTCCTGCCAGCCCAAAGGAAGAGAGCATATAGTACATAACAACCTCACATGAGTCTAAGCACAGAGGGGGATCCTTAGAGACTATCAAATACAAGACAAGGGATGTATGCTACTCACCTAAGCACAGAGGGGGACCTTAGAGAATGGTTCAAGGATCTATGTGCCCAGGTGTCACACTATATAGTCAGCTGTGACAGGTAACTGATGATGATGGGATATCACTGCCATGGAACAACTAGAAAGTGCCGACTGCATCAGCAATAGTGCCTTGCTCAGTACACGGATTAGACACATAGATTACAATACATGTTCCGCAGTCACATACACAAAGTACGCCATTCAATAGATACCAGAAGCAGCTCGTCTCTTTTTACTTGGGCTCTGTTCAGCCTCATCTTCAGTGTCTTGCTGGGCAAGCTTCCCACGTTTAAGAGGGCTGGGCGCCGCAGCTTGATTAGCCAACACGCACATTTTCACCATGTCGGCAGAAAAGTGTCATAATTCGGTCACTTTTTATCTTATCTTTGACGATCTCATCTTATCACAGATTACGGCATCAGACGGTCCGGGCTAGGGGTTCCAGGGGTTATCCTTATCGATTCAAGGCTGCGCGACATATGCTCCAGAAGGTTCTACTACAATCCATGACCAGTGCACCATGCGGTACATAGCATTACGACTCATTAGTTGTAGATATGACTCAGACTGGATTTGGGTATAAATACTGTAGCTACTTGGTTGTATTCTCCAGTCTTCAAATTCACTTCTCTTTTCAACATTATCTCTTGTTGATTGTCACATAATTCGAAGACTCCCCTCATACCCTCCTACCTCATACCTCTTACCCCTGCATCCCTCACCGCTACGCCTGCTATATCCTCTACACCCTTATCATTGCACTCACCCTTTTACCAAATCATCTAGTTGTCCTCTGCAATTGCAGTGAAGGGTTCATATTGAGCAAACAGCACCAGGCCACAGGTAACGTTGAGCCCGACCCAAGCCTTACAGTAGCTACAAGGAGTGCTGCGGAGACCTTCGGGAAAACACACCTCGGGATCATCGGGCACGTAAAGAGCTAGGCCCAGGATCTTTTTGCTAGCAAAAGAACCCTCCCTCGAGTGCTTGTACAGCACACGAATCCACCATTTCGTTCCAATTCCCATCGCCGTCTGGGAGCCCGTCTCCTCCCCCCATTGTACCCTCTTCGCTCGATCTGGCGTACCAAAACCAACCCGGGCCCTCTACTCCTTACCTCGCCCTCCCGCCGCCTGAAGACGAGATCCCTGACCTTGACGAGTTACCCTCCGAACAACCACCCTCGCCCCCATCTACCACGCCTGCTCCTACCATGTCAGGACACCACCGCATCACCCTCGCCGCCAACCCCCCATACTTCGATGGGGACAAGTCCAAATATATGGGCTTCGTGGATTCGTGCACCACCTATATTGGTGCCTATCGGTCGGAATTCTCGCAGGATGAGACAAAAATCCTCTTCATCCTATCATACCTCCGCAACAAGGCTGGCACAAGCTGCGCTGCCTCGAGATGGGCAATGAACTGGAAGCAGCGCAACTTCAAGAGCCTTAATGGAATAAAGGCTGGGGTCACCTCGGCGACCTTCTTGGAGGAGCTTCAAAGGGCTTTTGGGGACTCCAACGCGGAACAAGTTGCCGCCGCTCAGCTCATGGCCCTGCGCCAGAATAAACGATCCTTTGCAGATTATATCTCCAACTTTGAGATGCTGGCTGCGGACGCGGGGTACAACGTGGTCACCTCCACCGACAGCAAGGGCGAGTACAAGAAGGGGGATCAGGACAACATCCTCATCGAATTCCTCGAGCGTGGACTAAGCAGCGAGATCGCAAGTCGCCTCTACAACATGGGTGTCCCCTTGCCCAAGGCGTATGGCGCCTTCAAGGACTGGTGTGTCAACATCGAGGCAAACACTCTACGCGATCAGCTGCGCAAAGCATCGCATGCGCACTCCGCACCACGACCGCCTCCCCAATTCCGCCCGCAGGTAACCCCAATGACACCTGCACCCGCCCCGGCCCGACCTGCTGCCAACAAACCGGTTCCGATGGAAATGGATCGCACCCACGCCCGCGGCCGCAATATCATCTGCTACAACTGTCAGCAGCCTGGGCACATTGCGCGGAACTGCCCGGAACCAAGGAAGAAGCGCACATTCTTCAATCGGGCCACGATGCTTGAAGAGATCGAGAACGGGGACAAGTACAACGAGTTCCTCAAGGAGATCACTGAGAAGCTGCGCGAGAAGGGTTTTTGAAGCGCTCCACTCCTCTAGCCAAGGAGGTGGAGCGTCCGGACTATGGACAATTTTCTGTACTTGTTTCGATTAAAGACATGAACGATTCTACACATACATACACAATCTCGGACTCACTATGTACCAATATTCATGACTTTCTCATTGCCGATATGGAAAAGGAACGCCAAAGAAAAATAGCTTTAAATAGAGAGTATTTACAGAGTAAAAAGGATCAGAAAGCTGTGGATAAATTAATTTTGGACTCCTACGTATTTATGGGTTGTGGAGAAGAAACCACGTCAACAAAGACCAAAAAGGGGAGTATTGCTCTGGAGGGTCAATCCTGGAAAAGGGAGGAAGCGCCTAAGGAATCTGCTGAAATCAAGGTTCCAGAAGCACCCAAACGCACCAGGGTGCTAGATGCCGTCCAGAGAAAATTGGCGGCCGAGAAACAGAAAGGGCCCCAGCCCAGCAGACTGGCGCAGGAATTGCACAACTACCAGGCCAAAAGGAAGAGGCATTCCATGGACGTATATGTCCAGATCACAGGCCTGGACTCGGGGAAAATGTGCAGAGTCAAAGCACTGTTGGATAGTGGCTGCAGTACCTGCTGCATTGATACCGACTACATGTGGGCAGAGAAGTTGGATATCCAAGAGCTTCCGCAACCCATCGTGGCTTGTAACGCTGACAACACCGAGAACATCAGCGGACAAAACACGCATTACGTCAACCTGAGAATGAGAATTGGCCCTCATGTGGAGGTACACACGTTCCTTCTAACGTGTTTAGGGAAAGCTCGGATCTTCATTGGGCTCAATTGGCTGATGGAACACAACCCCGAGGTAGATTGGCAGGAACAGACAATGAGATTCAGTTGATGCCCAGAGCAGTGTCATATGAGGGGTCACAAGGAACATCAAGCAATGATCGACATGGATGCAATCAACCTGGACACGGACGCACCGGATATGGAAGAGGGAGAATCAATCCTGTTGGTCAACTTTGGGAAGGAAGTGGATCTGCGGCTGAAGGAAACGCCGGCACAGAAATTTGCAGAAGAGGCAGAAAAGGAGAAAGAGAGAATGACTGAGGGGAAGATTCCGGATCAATATTGGGAATTCGTCAAAGTATTTGCCAAGGAATCGTTTGACTCACTACTGGACTGACGAGCATGGGACCACGTGATTGAGCTCAAACTGGATTCCAAAGCAGTGGACTGCAAGGTGTACCCATTATTGCGAAATAAGCAGGTCAAACTTGACGAGTTCTTACAAGAGAACCTGGCCAGCGGATGGATCAGGCCATCAAAATCACCTATGGCATCAGTGTTCTTCTTTGTCAAGAAGAAAGATGGCTCGCTATGACCTGTCCAAGATTATCAGAAGCTGAATGAGATAACGATCCGAAATTGGTACCCGCTGCCGCTGATCTCTGAACTGGTTCATAACCTCTGTGGCACCAAGTTCTTCACGAAGCTAGATATCCGATGGGGATACTGTTGGAGTATGGGCCCCAAGCACTATCGGCAGAATAGCTCAGTTAGTTAGAGCACTGGTTGCACTTATCAGAGGTCCCAGGTTCAATTCCTGGTTCAGCCATTTTATCAACACATTGTTGTATCATGTGTTGATAAAATGGCTGAACCAGGAATTGAACCTGGGACCTCTGACTTGGATCGTCCAGTGCTCTAACCACTGAGCTATTCTGCCTCGGTGCTGGGATTCCCAACTCCAACACAATGTACGGATTAAAGAGGGCGATGAGTGGAAGGCTGCGTTCTGCATAAACCGCATGCTGTACGAGCCCTTGGTTATGTTCTTCAGCCTCACAAACTCCCCGGCGACCTTTTAAAACATGATGAACGACATACTCTGGGAACTCATCAATGAGGGTCATGTGGTAGTTTATCTTGACGATATACTGATCTTCACAGAAACCTTGAACGAACATCGGCGGATCACGAAGTGAGTACTCGAACTGCTCCAAAAACACAAGTTCTACCTGAAACCCGAAAAGTGCGAGTTCAAATGCACAGAGATTGAGTATCTAGGTGTAATCATTGGACACAACTTGTTAAAGTGTAAAAAGGATGTCTTGCTTGGTTCAGACAAAAGAGTGTTACTTAGCTATGTGACCATCAGTACATAGCCCTAGATCAATGTGACAGACTGGGCTTTTTGCCTCCCATCTATGCCCCTAGCCTCCTGTGGCTCCCATCTGTGTTTTCTGAGTTCAACACAACTCGATGCGGATGGACCCAGTCAAGATCAAGGGCGTGATGGAATGGCCTGAACCAAAAAGCGTCAAACAAGTCCAAGCCTTCCTAGGGTTCACCAACTTCTATCGACACTTTGTCCGGGGATATGCAAAGGTTGCCAAGCTGTTGACACAGCTGACAGGGAAGGCAGGATGGTCATGGGATACAGATGAGCGAGCAGCATTTGATGGGTTGAAGAAGAAAATTGCGGAGGATACGGTCTTAGCACTGTCAAATGACACCGGCCAATATCGTCTAGAAGCCGATGCTTCGGAAGGGGCAACAGGATCTGTTTTGAGCCAAAACCAAGACGGCATTTGGCGTCCAATTGCATTTATTTCGCACGCATTGACTGAAACTGAGCGAAATTACGAGATCTATGACAAGGAAATGCTTGCAATCATGCTATTGCTTGACGAATGGAGGCAGCTGCTCCTGGGGGCCACAGAAACGTTTGAGATCTTCACTGATCATCAGAACCTCAAGTACTTCCGGAAGCCATAAAAGCTCAATCAACGGCAAGCACGATAGATCACAGAATTGGTGGAATTCGATTTCACCTTATGACACCGGCCCAGCGCTCTCAACCGCAAAGCAGACCTCTTATCACGACGAGCAGATCACGATCAAGGCAAGAACAACAACAAAGATGTCACGCTACTGAAGCCTGAGTTCTTTCGATCACAAGAAGTCACATTCGAGGGGCAGAATCAGCAGCTAATTGATGAGATCAAGGCCACCTGGTCAATTGATGGAAGCGTCAAGGCGGCCTTAGAGAAGTCACTCGCTGGATGGTAAAAGGAAGACGGACTCATCACGTACCATGGGAAGCTCTACATACCAAGAGACGAGGAACTGCAAGACAAGATCATTGGGCTACACCACGACACGCCTTTGGTCAGACATGCTGGGATCAACCGAATACAAGAGATGATGGAAAGGAACTACTGGTGGCCAAGGATGGGAAACCAAATTCGGAAATACATCCAGACATGCGAGACGTGCCAACGGACCAAGACCAGGAGAGCAAGGACAGGGACTTTGCACCCGCATGCAGTCCCAAATGCGCTGTGGGGAATCATCTCCATGGATCAAATCGGACCCCTACCGGTCAGTAACAGGTATGATGCAATTCACGTGTGGTGTGACACCTTCACCAAAATGATACATGTCAAACCAATTAGTACTGACATCAGCAGTGAAGGAGTTGCACGATTAACCAGGGACTGAGTCTTCCGCTACCACAGAATCTCCCGCAAGATCATCACCAACAGAGATTTGCGTTACATCAAGGGCTTCATGAAGGAGACGAATCGGATGTTGGGCGTGGAAATGAATCTAGGGACCGCATATCATCCGATCACAGACAGACAAACGGAACGCATTGTTGGTAAAATGGCTGAACCAGGAATTGAACCTGGGACCTCTGATAAGTGCAATCAGTGCTCTAACCAACTGAGCTATTCTGCTGATAGTTCTCGGGGCCCATGCTGTTGGAGTTGGGAATCCCAGCACCAAGGCAGAATAGCTCAGTGGTTAGAGCACTGGACGATCCAAGTCAGAGGTCCCAGGTTCAATTCCTGGTTCAGCCATTTTATCAACACATGCTCCAACAGACATCGACCCTAGAGAGGGGGTAATGTCATAGTTCGGCCACTTTTTCATCTTATCATCAACGATCTCATCTTATCTTGGCATGACTTATCTTATCACGGATCACAGCATCAGACAGTCCAGGCTAGGGGTTCCAAGGATTATCTTTATTGATCCAAGGCTGCACGACATATGCTCCAGAAGAATATACTACAACCCATGACTAGTGCACCATGCGGTACATAGCTTTACGACTCATTAGTTGTAGATATGACTCAGACTGGATTTGGGTATAAATACTGTAGCTACTTGGTTGTATTCTCCAGTCTTCGAATTCACTTCTCTTTTCGACATTATCTCTTGTTAATTGTCACAATAACCCGTCTCATGACCAGTGGGTCAAGCACTCAGATGTGTTTGCTGACGACACAGTGTCAGCATTTTACCACAGATTGTTGATGTGTGGATATTGTATGTGCTTGGTTCAGACAAAGAGTGTGACATTACTCTGTGATGCATAGTATAAAGCATCAGATCAATGTAACCTACTGGGCTTTTTGTCTCCTATCTGTGCTCCTGGCCTCCTGTGGCTCCCATCTGTGTTTTCTGAGTTCAACACAGATACCCTGGGAAGCCACGCGTCATCGCAATGGCCATATTCAACTCGCTGCCCTTCAGGGACTCATCAACCCCCAACCGTGTCTTGCGTTGAGGCACCGCAATCAAAGGGGGGGGGTGATGTCAAGATAACCCCTGCTTTTGTCTGATCTGTTGAGAATGGGTGTTGGACTTGATCACTCTCTGGTGAATGTGTCACATGATCATCTGATTCCATCTGATTATATCACTAATGATATCTGATTCTATCACTGTTCCCATCATTCCATTATTCTGGTCACATAACTCCAAGTCACATGGTTTCTATACAGTCACATGCTCTATCCACATAGATAGTTCTTGCCTCCCTGGAGTTCTTTAGCTTCTTACTGTTGACTCCAGTCCTCTCTGCATTTTCTGCTTCAACAGGTTATGGGCCCCGGCCTCTAGAGTGCCTCTGAGTCATCTATTCTGAGATTTTCGAGTTTTTTTTTCATTCTCTGATTTTCTCTGCCTGCTGCTACCTGCTTGCCCCAGTCCTGCTACTGCAGTTGACATCTCTGCTCCCCTCTGTTCTGTTTTTTTTCTGCTCTTATAGTGTCTGTGGTACAGGCACTAGTAGTTGGGACTCTATCCTTAAGTGGGTGTGTTCTTTGGTCCATCAGGAAACACCAGGTAGTCATTCCTGTGATCCTGAGGTTGAGACAGCTAGGTGCCTGAGATCAACACACTCCTGAGAGCCTGTAGCTACATCCATACATCTTCTACATCATTCTGGGCGCATTTTTGAGCACAGCATGGCATCAAATTGTTGAAGCAGGAAATGCAGAGAGGACTGGAGTCAACAGTAAGAAGCTCTGCATTGCAAGAGAAAACAAGAAAAGAATCTACAGACCTGGATTCAACAGTAAGAAGCTGAAGAACTCCAGGGAGGGAGGAACTATCTATGTGGATGGAGCATGTGACTATACAGGAATCATGTGACTTGGAGTCATGTGACCAGAATGATGGAATGATGGGAACAGTGATGGAATCAGATATCATCAGTGATGTGATCATTGATAAGATCAGATGAAATCAGCTGATCATGTGACCCAATCACCAGAGAGTGATCAAGTCCAAAACCCATCCTCAACACTCCCCCGGGATGAGATCAGTCTCTCAGCCTCTCCCCCGCAATCTCATCAGTGTGCGCAACCTTGCCACCTGAGGCCGAGGCAACGCCTTGGTCATGATATCTGCCAGCTGGTCCTGCGTCGGCACATACTTCACATCAATGAACCCTCTGGCCACTTCATCTCTGAGCCAGTAGTGTGCAAGGTCCAGATGCTTCATACGCCCATGGTGTTCAGGATTCTTGGACACAGAAATGGCAGGCTGGTTGTCCATCATCAAAGGAGAAGCCCCAGACACACCATGCTCTAGCTCATG